ATCAGCATCACCAAATTTATTATTGCTGGTCCAGGTATAATCCCGCTACGCAATCTGAGTAATGTATACACAGATGATTTTTATGGTTCGGGTATGTTATAAAGTGGTACCATGTGTTTGAACAGAAGGACCCCTTACTCTGTTGAAGTGTGCTTTATTGTATTGGAATTTCAATTTAAGGTAGTGGTTGAAGAGGCAGCTATGACAATATCTCTGTTGTATATTGTATATCAAATAGTGCTTTTCTAGATAGGTGTGCCTACATTTTAATAGGGTCAGAACAGATTCGTGTGGTGGTGTACATGGATTCTCTAAAACGACAATTGGCTTAATTTTTTTTCATGATGTCATAGATGTGCACCAGCATGCAATAGTTTGCAGCTGGAATCTTATCAGAAACCTCCTCACAAAATATCTGATCCCATTATGTGGAATGGAGGTGGGGAATGTTGGGGAAAGACAAAACCAGCACAGTTTGTGGGGGTGGGAGGCAATAGGAGGCTGAGGTAATAAGTGACAGTTTTACATTGTCTCATTCTCTGACAATGTTTTTTCTGAAGCAGTATGTAGCCATTTCAGCCACTTGTGCCAGACTTTACCTTTCAACCTAGGTAAAGTATAGATGCTTAATATTTCACATGTAAGTCATGATTCTGCAAGGGGCTCTTCAGGGTGCAAAGACTCTGGGTAGGTGGAGATGGCTGCAGACCTGGGGACTTAAATTTATAAAAGAAAGCAAGTTAACACTTGCTGCTGAAAAGGTAAATGGGCTTCTGGTGGTAGAGAATAGGTAATTAAAAAAAAAAATCCAAGGAAACTTTAAAATAAAAGGTTAAGAAAATAATAGAATAGTAGAGAAACAGTATATATAATTTCCCTGCTAATTTCTCTTATTCTTTCACTCTGAAGTACTTTTTATAGGGTGGCGATGTGTTGCTTAAACCTACACACAAATGTTAAAAAAGCTTTTGAAAAAATAAATTAAATGTGAAGTGAATGAGCCATACATATTTCAATAGCAGACAGCCATCCAGATTGTGTATTAGTAGGCAATTGCTGCATTTCTTGGGTGGCTGAAGGCATTCAGTCTTGTGCCTCACAGTGTACCCAAGACAGCCTATTAG